ATTTGATATCATCTAAAACAAACTCTCAAGGCCAGTGGGCCAAATGTGGTCCACCATTTCATTTTGTGGCCCATGAGTGCTTCAGACATGTATTATTGTCTTAAAGGAAGTTATAAACTACAGCTCCCATAATGCAACCCCGCCCCCCATACACACACAATAAAATGACACCTCTAATTCAAAAGTAAACAGAAACTTGTAAAATCTGACRTATAAAATTACAGTTTATCTGCATTTTCTCTGGATACTTTAGTGTTTATAAGAGGATGTGTTAAAACACTGTTTCTATGCAGGAAATACCAGGTAGAGCTCAGTTACTGTTTATTTGTGCTCAGCTGTAGCAAGACRAAAAAAAGTGGTTTTGTGTTCAGTTAAGTTTTTATTTACATAAATGCAGATCWGTTTGTTTTCAGACTAATCTGAGAACTCAGAATCCACACAGAATAAATGAAGGCGTTCTTTTTTACTCTTTGTTTTTGGCATCARTCTTTTCCAAACATCTGCTGTGAGCTTGTCGACTTCAGGCTGAAGTTGCTTCTAATCAGTCCCCGGCGTCCGTCTCTCTCTGTGTTCTGATGGCTGGCGTCGATCGAGCGAAGCGCTTCCTGAGCCGTTCCTCATGTGACWCTGAAGCTCTGCTGAAACAGAAGTGAGAGTGTGACCTGACAGATCTCCCACATTTGATTTTCCATCTGCGTTTGTTTCAGGCTGGAGGACTCTCCACCGCAGCCCCCGCGAAAACAGCAGTCGCCCTCCAACAACGGGACAGGTGAGGAGCTGAGGGGGCCGGGCTGGAAACAAGGGGCAGGAAATGAGTGAATATAATATCCTGTAAGGGGGCAGAGGAAATCCAGAGGACCGTGTGTGTGTGTTTGTGTGTGTGTGTGTGTGGCATTCGATTGGAGCCGAGTGMATCAGAAGTGTTTGTGGGTTATTGTAGGACACGAAGCAGTGTGCCTAACGACTAAAACGCACACTTAMAGGGTGATTTACGGTGGGCCGTTAACGAGCAAATGAACAGCAGGGTGAACAAACTCTGCATGAAAAACTGTTYGGTTTTATTATTCTAACCGTGCAGCACAGGTGTAGATGTGTTGTTTTAATTTAAATCTGTAAGCAGAAAGGAGCTGGTTGGACTGAATGTTAGATGTTTGATTTGATTTGATTTATTGATTCAACAGGAAAA